AATGCGTTGAGTCTAAATGACAGCTTTACATGATTCGGAATCCTACTAGACGAAAAAACATGCTTTGTAGTTTAATTTAGATAAAAAATAATATTATTCAATAATTTTAGGTTCGGACATTCCAAAAATAGCAAAAAACTAACTTGGTATTTTCATAATAGTTTGACTAATATAACCTTTAAGTTGTACTGGAACCTTTATAATGATATTGATTTGACTAATATAACCTTTATTTGTTTTAGAAACTCTCAGTTAGCTAATTAGTTTATATGAAAACCTTAATAAGCCTAATAAATTCATATATTTAATTTTAAAAAATTATTGTTGTTATTAAATTTATTTTTAAAAATAATTATTTTAACAAGTACCTGTGTAATACACGAGTATTGTACTAATTGTTAAATAAAATGGGAAAGAATATATCTAAAAGAAAACTATAAAGTAGATCCTTGGCTGAAAAAACTATAAATTCTAGTAGTTAATTAAATAATTTTTCTTAATTTAGAGTGGCTTAATTGATAGTACATGATTCTTTAGTCCCGTCCACTATGTCTACCAAACAAGGATAGATTGTTAGGAAACAAGGACTATAATGTGCTAAACAAATCAAGTAATTCATAAGTTCGGATCGACTCGTTACTCTTGATCTCAGCTCGGTTTTATAATATTGTTTAGTTAACGAGTCAGGCTTGTTAAAACTCAAATCTATTCTTTTTATACTTTTTTTTATTGGTACAAGGACCTTTCGGTTTCCGAATCTACAGGGAAACCGACTAATCCGGAATGGAGCCGGGTAGGACCACAAGGGCGGCAAAGCTCTCTCTCAATAAGTTGACATAATATGAGACAATTGATTTTGATTTTGTAATGCCGTCATATATACGTTCATTCTAATTTCATGAAATAGTATTTACTTTATTTGAATAAGAATATATATATAAATATATGTATATATAATGGTTAAAACAACACTTAAGTTTGTCGATTTCTGTTGGCTGTACAGTAAACTCGTGTGATTCGTTAATCAATTAGTCATAAAACGCTGGCTTAACTATGTGTAATTTCCTTTTGTCTCATTATGAAAACTGGTAAACATTGGCTACTAATTAATATACTTATGTCAACAAAAAAAATATACTTATGTCAACAATTTAATTTATTAGTAGTAATTAATTATGTGGTGCTGCAATTAAATTAAATAAGGAGAAAATTATTATTCTAGTTCAATAAGTTAATCTAATTTGTCAAATTATTTTTATCATCTGACGCACCCAAGTATATGCTGTCAAAATCTCACCTGATGATTTTAATAACATAATAACAATTAAAAATATAATACAAGATTATCATGTGTATTTTTTTTTTTTTCAATAATTATTTTGTGTTTCAATTTGAAATTTTGTTATAAACATGATGACAAAAAATATAAAAGATAATTATACTAACTTTGGAAGATAAAAAAATTATCAAAATAATTCGACACAAAATCATGAAACACATAAATAAATTCAAACTTAAAAAATGTTATTGGATGAAATTCAAACAATATATATATATATATATATATATATATGAACGAAAATTACATATTTTTTTCAAATAAACATCTTCAATATCTACCTACAATTAAAATTGCTTCTAGATTAAATATTTAATCTTGCAAGATAATGTTTTCTTATTAATCAAAGTTTGGACTTTTTGACATTTAGCGACAGAAATAAAGACAAATTAGCAGCCCAGGCGTTACGTTCAAAATTTCATGTCATTTCAGATAATTGACAAAAACAAGCATTATTATTGATTTATTATTTTTCTAGTTGTTTCTCATCAATTTGGGGCACACATATTTATACCAATGTACGTATGATTTTTATTTTATTTATTTATTTTTATTTTTCTGCATGTGAAGATAATAAATAAAACAAATTAAAACAACGGGAAATTCCTCATAAATCCCCAATGCATTGTTCAAGTTCCTTGTCAGTCCCTAGGTCTTTTGTTTTTCCTCTGCACTCCCTAAAGCATTATTCTCTTTCCTTTCAACTACCTGTATATATATAACTATTATTATTTATCATTTAATTTATTTAGCAAAGCATAAACTATTGAAAAGTTTCATAGAAATAAAAAAATTGTCTCCCTCGTCCACACATCGCTTTTCTCTCCGGCAAACTCACCATCTTCATCGCCGGCGGCTTGCTTAAAATTAACATCGAATTAAGCATTTAAAATGAATGCCCAAAACAATCTCATATTGTTTGTTTGTCAATGAGCATGGTGGGATTGAAATTCCATTATTTGAATCCCTAATTACTTCCTCCCAAATTTGCAGAAGCCACTTGAAGCGAAACTAATTCACCAAGATACTGAGCCCGTGCTCAACGACCGCCTGGGCAAGAAGGTCCGAGTGATGTGCAACGAGGACAACACCATCGGAGACCTCAAGAAGCTGGTTGCTGCACATACCGGCACACGCGCCGAGAAGATCCCGATCCAGAAGTGGTGCACCATCTACAACGACCACATCACCCTCAAGGACTACGAGGTCCACGACGGCATGGGCCTCGAGCTCTACTACAACTAGGTTCTTCGCTATTCCCCAAATTAATATTAATTTCGACCTAATTTTGTGTAATTCTGCTCTCTCTTTATTTGTATTTCATTGTTTTGGTTGATTGAGAAAACAGGATGATGTGGGCGCCCTTTGATTGTGCTCATGAGTTTGTTAAAGAGCCAAAGCACATGATAACACTATGTTGCAATATCGATATGTAATATGCATACTGCATAGCTCTTCTGAAGCAAATAGTTACTATTTAGGTGGAAGACTTCTCATTATTGAACACTACTATGGTTTCAAAATAGAAGCTGATATATCTTTTTTTAAGAGCCGGATGAGCCATTTGGCATGTGGGCTGTTATTCCATGGTCATTTCACTTTTATCTCTGTCATGTGTATAGTATGTCATAAGAGAGCCTGATAGTATGGTACTTCGAGCATATTACTGCGTACTTGATAATGATTTATAATGGATATCATTCTGGTCAATGTATACAATATATTGTTTAATACTATTTGAATGGGGCTACTTCGGTTTTTGGTGTTAGTATAATATTATTTAAGAATTAGGGTACTGTTCAATTAATTTGGCTGGTTGAAAGAGAGAAAAAAAAGTGAAAACGTTTTTGCGTGGCTGCCTGAGCTTGATCTCTTCGCTAATGACGACTGTGGAAACCGTCAAGGATGTCTCTCCGCACGAGTCTGTCAAATCCTATGCCTCCCACCTCAAGCCCTCGGGGAAGGTGGGAACGTTTTTGCCTATAATAGCATTGTTATATGTTTTTCATTCAATTGTTTTTCTTCACTTAATCATCTCAAGTGAATGCATGTTGTTTAAAACGGGTATGTATTTTGAGGTGGGACTTGTGAAAAGTCTTAGTTTTTGGGGCGTTTCGAGTGAAGAAGATTTATTGTTTGTGTTATTGATTTTTCGGTTGTTTGATTATTGGCATTGTTTGTAGTAAATGTTTTTTATGATGTTGTTTTACTCCGTTGATGATTTAACAATTGTTTGTCTAGAGCCTGATTTATTGTATGCTTGTGATATAATGATTTTGCTCAGGCTGAGAAGTAAAGAACTAAACTGTGGAACTGATTTGTCACTGTGAGATTATTGATAATTGAGTTTTGAAAAACTAAGATTAGTTATCATACTGTCTTAAAAAATTCAGTTAATGGCATTTATGGTTCATGTTTTCTTCTTTATGCGGTTGTATTATTCTACCCCCACAAGGTATTTTGTGCACGAAAAGGTAGATCACATTAGTTCCCCTAAGCTATTTTACTTACTCATTTTATTTCATGAGTTCCCCTAAGCTATTTTACTTATTTTATTTATTATTTCACGATCAATAGATGGAGCTGCCCGACTGGACTGATTTGGTAAAAATTGATGTCCTGAAAGAGCTTGCACCATATGATCCTGATTGGTACTACATAACGGCTGCTTCCAGGGTTCGAAAGATCTACTTGAGGGGAGGACTTGGTGTTGGTGCCTTCCGAAGGATTTATGGTGGAAGCAAGAGAAATGGCAGTCGTCCGTCCCATTTTGGCAAGAGCAGTGGGTCTGTGGCTCGTAACATTTTTCAGTAGTTGCAGAAGATGAGCATCGTTGAGGTGGATCCACCTCGAGGTGGACGTAGGATCACATTCAGCAGGCAAAGGAATTTGGACCAAGTTGCAAGAAGAATTTGGACGTAGATTATTTATTTAGTTTAATTTGTGTTTTAGCTTGTTGGGAACTTCAGTCAGAAGAAATCTCTGGACAAAGATTTTGGTTTAAAATGTTTGTTTTTTGACTTTCTGATGATTTAACGAGATGTACTGTGGATTATGAATTATCGAGTTATATCAGTGTTATGATTTTAGTTAAAAAAAAAAAGAAAAAAAAGAGTACTAGCCTTGTGTTCTAATAGTGCTTGTTTTGCCGTACTTAATACCTACTTAGTTGAAAGATAAAGAATGATGTGAAGGATATAAAGAAAGTTAAGTTTTGTAGACCAATACCAGTTTGTCTTAACAATGGTACCAGGTATAAGGTATTATAGTACCTGGTACCTAACATTTAGTACCAATTTTAGGGTAAATAGTACCGCATTTTGTTCTACGCGGTACCTGTTTTCGGTCAATTAGTACCAACATTGGGTCAACAAAAATATATTATTCAATTGACTAGATCTAGAGTACGACAATACCAACTTTTCCTTGTTTAGTACCGGATATAAGGTCTTTAGTACCAACTGTAACAAACACATAAAAACACCGAATTTCAGTTTGAAATGATGTTTACATGACAAATAATCACTCTCACACTAGTTTTTTTTATGAGATTTATGAAGTTTTTAATTAAGTTTAATAGCAAATTGGTCACGAACTCGACACACTAATGAAATAACACTACCAACACTTCATCTCATTAAAATAATACCGATTTTTTGAATAATAGTACTGTTTCTTATTTTACGTGGTACCTATTTTTGATCGATTAGTACCAACTTTTGGTCAACAAAAATGGATTATTCAATTGTAGTCAACATTCGCAATAATTGGTACCAGATCTAGAGTAGTATAGTACCAAATTTCGGTGTTTCAGTACCGTATATTGGATCTTTAGTACCACTTGTAATGAACACATAAAAATACCGAACTTCGGTTGCCAATGATGTATATATGACCAATAATCACTCTCACATTAGTTTGTATGAGATTTAAAATATTTTAAATTGAGTTTAATCGTAAAATAGTCATGAACTCGACTCAATAATGAGAAAACACTACTAATACACTTCACTTCATAGAAACATTTCATCTAATAAAATCATCATACATGACTACTTCAATTTATACCTATATGTTTTAACTTTCACTATTTTTTATCCAAATCACGCGTTAATGATCCACGTGACATGGTAGACATGAAGGATTAGAAAAATCACGATTCTTCAAATAGTACCTGATTTAGCAAAGATAGTACCACATTTTCCTCTATTTAGTACCTGATTTGGATCAATTAGTACATACTTTTGGTCAACCAAGATAGATTATTTCAATTGTGGTCAACATTTTAAAAAAGTAGTACCAGACATAGGGTAATATAGTATCGCATTATGGGACTTTAGTACCATTTTTCAGGTTTTTAGTACCACATGTAATGAACATCTTAAAACACCGAACTTTGGTCGCAAATGATGTTTATACAACCCATAATCACTCTCACATTTGTTTCTAAGAGATTTAAAAATGTTTTTTCATTAAGTTTAATCGTAAAATGGTCATGAACTTCGCACACTAATGAGAAAACACTGCTACTACACTTCACTTTATAGAATGACACACTTCATCTCATAAAATCAATATCATACATGACTACTTCAATTTCTACCTATATGTTTTAACTTTCACTATTTTTCATCCAAATCACGCCTTAACGATCCGCATTACATGGTAGACGTGAAGGATTAGAAAAATCATGATTCTTCAAATAGTACCTGATTTAGCAAAGATAGTACCACATTTTCCTCTATTTAGTACTTATTTTAGATCAATTAGTACCTACTTTTGGTCAACCAAGATGGATTATTTCAATTTTGGTCAACATTTTAAAAAATTAGTACCAGACATAGGGCAATATAGTACCACATTATGGGACTTTAGTACCATTTTTTGGGTCTTTAGTACCACATGTAACGAACATCTTAAAACACCGAACTTTGGTCGGAAATGATGTTTATACGACCCCTAATCACTCTCACATTTGTTTATAAGAGATTTAAAAATGTTTTTCATTAAGTTTAATCGTAAAATGGTCATGAACTCCACACACTAATGAGAAAGCGCTACTACTACACTTCACTTCATTGAATGACACACTTCATCTCATAAAATCATCATACATGACTACTTCAATTTCTACCTATATGTTTTAACTTCAACTATTTTTCATTCGAATCATGCGTGAATGATCCACGTGGCATGGTAGACATGAAGGATTAGAAAAATCACGATTCTTAAAATAGTACATGTTTTAGCCATAATAGTACTACATCTTCTTCTGCGTGGTAACTCGTTTTGATCGATTAGTACATACTTCTGTGAACGAGAAACGTATTATTTCAATTTTGGTCGACATTTACACAAAGTACTACCAGACATAGAGTAAGATAGTACCAGTTTTACATTGTTGTAGTACATGATATTGGGTCTTTTGTACTACATGTAATGAACACATAAAAAAACAGAATTTTAGTCTCAAATGATGTTTATATGACCCATAATAACTCTCACATTAGTTTTCATGAAATTTAAAATATTTTTAATTGAGTGTAATCGCAAATTGGTCAGAACTCGACATATTAATGAGAAAACACTATTAATATACTTCATTTCATTGAATGACACACTTCATTTTATAGAATCATCATACATGACTACTCCAAATTCTACCTATATGTTTTAACTTCCGATTTTTTCGTCCAAATCATGCGTGGATGATCCAGTGTCATGGTAGACATGAAGGATTAGAGAAATCATGATTCTTAAAGTAGTACCTGTTTTAACCATAATAGTACGACATCTTCTTCTGCGTGGTACCTCGTTTCGATTGATTAGTACCTACTTTTGTGAACGAAAATAATTTTTGCCAACATTTACAAAAAGCAATACCAAACATAGAGTAAGATAGTACCAGTTTTATATTGTTGTAGTACCTGATATTGGGTGTTTAGTACCACATTAATGAACACATAAAAAACTGAATTTCAGTCTCAAATGATGTTTATATGACCCATAATTTCATTGATTTAGACAGTAACCATTAAATGGTAGTTTAGGAGCCAATATCATTCAACACCAATTCCAACGAACATAATAAACACTGAATTTCAGTATTAAATGATGTGTATATTACTCAAAATCACTTATACATTAGTTTTATGAGTATTTGAATGTGTTTAATTAAGTTTTATAAAATTTGGTTGCTAATTTAAAAAATATATTTTAATAATATTATATGATACTAAATTTTAGAATAAAATAATAGTTGAGTATTATGCTTAATCAAATGAGGGCGGTTTTATTTTGGCATGAAATGTCTAAATTTAAATGCTATGAATTTCATTTGGGATGGATAGAAGTGTATTTAATTTTAAAAATAAAATAAGTTGTATGAATTTTATTTGGTACGTGTATGAAAGTTGAATTTATAATTCTCAATTTTTAGCATATTTCTATAATAACTTGTCATAAGATATTAATGATAATTTTATAAATCGCTTTGCATTGACACGTGTACATGTTAGGTTTTAGACTTGAGAATTACCATAAACTATTTTAGATATTTTTTTTCTCAAGTTACCATATACTACTCTTACTCTTTTTTATTTAATTCATATAATAAATATGTATTTTTTTTATTTTTAGATCTTTATATTTTTTTTTAATTTTATTTTTTATATGCTATATCTCAAATTAATCATATTTTAATGATCTTCGATTTGTATTCTCGTATTTTTAAATCTTTATATTTTTTTTGTTTATTTTATTTTTTTATGTTATATCTCAAAATAATCATAGTTTAATGATAAAAAAATAATTACATCTATCATTGTATATAAAACTATATTTATTAAAAATAATAATTTCAAAAATATGAATACAACATAAATTATTTTATAACATATATAATAAAAATCTAATTCAATAATCCATAAAATAATCGTTTTAATGTGTTTTATCATATATTTTAAATAATATAAGAAAATTAAGTGAAAAATATGGACCCATTTTTAATTAATTATTATTTTTAGTTATTCATTATTTTTAATATTCTTTATACATAATTTTACAATATAAAAATAAATTAGTTTAGTTTTTCTATTGTACAAATATTAATACATTTACGTACCCAAGTAGTACACGGATATTGTACTAGTTGATATATATTCCTCTTGAAAACTAGATATATCTTTGAATAAATATTTTTTATTAAAATTTATAATTTATAATTAAATTTTAGAGAATTATTTGATAAATTTTAAGGACAAAAATATAGATTTATAGATATAGTATAATATAGATTTATATGAAATAAAGATTAGTAAAATATATATATTTTTTTATTTAGATAGTTTATACAAATATATATATATATATTAATTAATAAAATATTAAGAAAAAATATTATTATGAGAGTTAAATAGTAGAAAATGATAAAAAGAAAATAATAAACAAATATATGGAAAGAGAGAGAAAAACAATAAAAAATTAAGAAATATTATAGTGGGAAGAGAGAGAATTAATAAAATAATATGTAAAGTTAGTTTTGTAGTAGCGTGATGTCATTACCTAATTTATTTTTGATTTATTTTAAGAATAGGGATTTAAGTGGAAGAATAAGAGAGAGATAGGGAGTGCAGGGGAAGTTATTTTGTTTAGGGACTGAGAAAGAAGTTTGAAAAGGGTTTGGGGATTTATTTGGAAGTCTCCCTTAAAACAAAGTAATGGGTTAGTGCAGTCACATTCAACTATTTATTTCCAAGTCCCATTAATCATTATCATGATTTGTACTATTAAATTTCCTGATGGGACCATCCATCTTTCATGCTTTTAAATAAATATGTAATAATAATGATATTTTGTTTCTTTTTCAATGTTATTTTTTTTTTCATAAAATAGTTAAATGACTACATACAATTCACAATTACTATCTTAGCATTGGAAAAGAACAAACCCTTCAATTTAGGCCATTTATTAATTTATTATTTTCGTTGTGTTGTTTATTTAATCATAATCATATTGTGAGTAGATCTGTTAAACGACCAGATTTGTTCTCGAACACAGCTCGATTTGGCCCATTCGATTGATTAAACGAGTCGATAGCAAATAACTCAATCGAGCTTGTTTATCAAACATGTTGAATCGAGACTTATTCGTGAACAACTCGTTTAAATTATTAGATGAACAAAAATCGAGCTAATCCTTTGGCCTATATTAAAGGTTTTAGGTTTATTAGACACAAATCGAACTTAGACCTAATCTTTTGACTAGTTATATCAATCAATGGTAAACTTGAACATGAGCTAATAGACTTGAAATAACACGTCTAATTGCTGTGTGGGTCTATTAGTTAGATTCATGCATTTGATGGGTTTGCCCATTTTAGACGAAGAGTCATTTTATTTTATTTTATTTTATTTTATTTTCTTTATTTGGCTTAATTAGTTGGAAAAAAAATAACAATAAAAATAATAATAATAGTCGTGTCTCATCAATTGACACTTTCATGGTGAACAGATTTAGTTGTGGGGCAAAGCATTTGTGGATGCTCTCGTACGTTGGACCACGACTAATGCCTTAAAATAAGATTGTTTTTTGTTCACACATGCACGTTCTTTTGCCTCTATTATTATTATTATTATTATTATTATTATTATTATTATTATTATTATTATTATTATTATTATTATTATTATTATATTTTTTTAAGTTATTTTGTTTTTTATATTTTACTTTATGTAGTATATAATTTTATTATTGAATTGAATTGTCGTGTTCTGATAATAAATAGTTTGTATTTTTAGGTGTTTTCATTCATTATTTCCGTCACGCCAATATCTGACACAGAGTTAATGAAATTAAATAAATAAATAAATTAAATGTATTCAACAGATTTTTGTAGCAGAGAGAGCATATATATTTTTGAAATTTGATGTGATATTTTACCTTATTCTGGCATCATTGTTTGGCTTTTCCAATGTGATTGGGACGTGTCACGCTTGTTTTTATTATTAATCAATTATTTAGTTTATTAATATGTTGTGTTTATCTAATATATTAAATATTTATTTACCATCTTAAGAAATGAGAAATAAATATTTCACACTTTTACAACATTTAGTTTAATAATTAAATAATAATAAATTAGGCCACATAACATAAAAGATGGTAAAAGTTTCACATAATTATACAATATCTCAACTGCAAAGTTGACCTAAGGAGGGCTAAAGTGAGATTCTTCGTCACACAACAATGTAAATAGTAGTGGATGATATATTATAATTCATTATTATAAAATAAAATCATTATATTAAGTGAGTTCATATTTAATTATTGGAAAAATAAATGTTAATATAATTAGTCCCTACGTAATATTTATATTAATTAAATTTATATTATTAGTCAACTTTGCTTAATGTTTAGCATCACAAAATGTTTTCAACTATAGGGCTAAACAGATATTCAACCCAAATAATTATTACCGAAACGAATCTAGCAAAAAATATTATTTGACTCTGGAAAATTAAATAATTTATCCCTATATATATTTAATGAAACATTGTTCACATATATAGTGGTAACGTCACGGGTGATATAATAATGTGAATTTTGTTGCATCAAACAAGAAAACTATATAAATGCTAAGCATGCATTAGGCACGCAATTAATTGTCCTTTTGCAACTAATTGATGTCACTCCCCACATATTTTGACTTGGAGAAAATTAAATAAATCAAACAATAGTAGTGATTTTTATAATTATATTTTTTAATAATAATTAATATGTGGTTCGTATGTAAATTGTATTGGAACCTTCCATATAGTTGGAATAGATAAAATTATAATTAAGTACACAAATAGTAATTGTCCAAGAAGACTTGAATAATAATAATAATAATAATTATGTTTTAGTGACTTAAACAAAACGTGTCGCTCGATAAGTTCTGTTCAGATTATTTTGTTAAAATTTGAGTTTGACTTTGTTCGTTATGGCTTGAGTTCGATTCAAATCGGTTAACACTGTTTTGGTTAACAAACTGGTCAGAGTTTATCAACGCTTGACTTCGACTCGTTAATATTAATATTAGTAATAGATGTAATTAATACAAATGTTTTATTTAAAAGGGATAGGCAATAAAGAGAGGAAACTTAACTTGATTGACTAATTGATTTTTTGTTCTATGTTTTATCCAATTGTCAATCCCTTTCTTTTTATATTTTATATTATCATCATTATTCTTCGTTCTGTTTCGGACCTTTGTTTGCTCGTCATTTATAGACAAAGGTGCAGTCAGCAATGGGTAACTACTTTATGGGCCTGGGCCGCTGGCTTACACAATTTCACTTGTAATTTTCTTCTATGTTTTTAGATAAAATTAGCTTTCAAATTGTATTTATTTTATATATTGATGGTTTTTTCAATTGCAAA